TCGGAAGCCTTTCAGCATTCATTTCTGCATCTTCCCGCTCAGGAACGTCCTCCCCCACGTGCCGCCGCAACAGCCGGGTGCGCCTCGTGAGCAGCCAGCAGCAGGGCCTCACAAAATTCACTTTTTCCCCTTACCACCACCTGCACAGCCAGCTCTGGCCAGAGACGCAGCCACCGTCCTTCCCAGGGCCTTCACCGAGTCACTGGTGCCCTCGCGGCCCGGGGGCCATAAATGTGGCCTTTATTCCCCGCTCTGGGACCATTCAGTGTTGGCATAATGCTGTTTTTAAAGCGGAATGGCACAGGGTAGCGAGTCAAATTAGTTACAGAAGCTCAGTTATAAGGGATTATGTTCACCAGCCAGCTCTCTCCACTTCACTCGTCTCCCCTCGCGCTGCCGCTCACGGTGCTACTGAATGCAACCTCTGAGCGGGGGCTGCGTCGCACCGGTGTGTTTTTACGCTGCCCCGTAACAACGGGCCGAGGACCTGAACTCCCACTAGGGCCCAGGGTGAACTCACACGCGAGTCCTGCTGGGCGCTGTTGTTTCCCTGTCTCTTGTCACCTGGCTGGGCCCTGGGGTTGTGCCAGCCGGGCAGCTCCCTGCCGGCTGTGCTCCTCTCATAGAGGTGTGGGCCGTGCAGGGCCCTGGTGCAGTTACGGTCACGCTGAGCCGCAGAGCCGGCGGGCCGTGCCCTCGTGCCGGTGCTGCACCGTGGCGCTCTGCTGTCACACCCTCTGCGTCCCGTCCCCTGCCACTGCCACACACCTGGGTTTTGTTTTCAATCACTTGTTTCGGTGCGAAAATCCGAGCGCTGAATGGCATTCCCAGGAGTCTCCCAGTAACAGCACTGGGACGCTGTTTCAGGGCTAGCCGCGGGTGTAAATGCAGCGAGGCAGAGGGTTCGGTGCAACCCGTTCGCTTGCTGGCCAAGTTTCACTTTCCAGTCCTTGCTGCCGCTTCACTGATAGCGTAGGAGAGAAACCAATGACAGGAGAAGGCTCTAGAGGCACGACTGTCAGCAGAGGAGGTGAATAATGGCTTGATTTTATTTATATAGGCTGGAGGGCAGCCAACAAAACCAGCAGACGTAAAGTTCAACGCCCACAAAGGGACGTGTTTTCTTTGCACCAGGTAGATGCTGGGATTTATTATTCATTTGTGGGCTCAAAAGCCAGCTAGAGGAGATCCTGCAAGAGAAATCCATGGAGAGCCCCAAGCACAAAGACACATTGTCAGCTCAGTGAGTGCCGGAGCCATGAGTCACCAGCGGCTGGGGAAATGTCACCCGGCCGCTTGCCCCGGCCTTATTCTCGACCCTGGCCCCCAACTATCGGCCATGGTGAGGGACATGATACTGGTCTGTGTACCGTGGTTTCACCCAGTATTGGGGGGGTGGGGGGGGGTCATATGTAAACCTTAAACCTCCTCCCTTGTGTTATTTGGGCCTAATCGTGAAGAGCTGCCTCCTTACGCTTAGCCCTGGTTTGTCCACTCTGTCTCACTCAGCGCAGCAGTGCTGGGGGGCAGACGGCAGGATTTGGCCGTTGTACAGCTCCCGGCAAACCGGGAACCATCGGCGATAAAATATTACGGCAAGCTCATTTCCACGTAGCCCTTGAAGGAAGGGCAATTGGTCGTTCCGGCTCTTGGGTGCAAAGGTAAGAGCCTTACTGGTAGGATGCGGTGCTGCTTCCAGTAAACAGACCTGCGTTTTGCTGAGCATGGGGAGACGCCGGAGCAGATCCGCTCAGGCTGAAGCAGCACGGCGCACGGTACGCTGGGGTGCGGCTCCAGAACTACCGGGCGGGTTGGTCCCACGGCAAGTTCTGGCCAAAGGTTGCGTACGTAACCGCATACCAGCACCGCCTGCCCGGATGCCTCGCGGAGTGGAGGCTTTTGGAGCACAAACAGTGTTATCTGATGAATGGGAAAGTCCTGAGCGCTCAGTTGTTTCCTAGCGGCACAGGCACCCCAAAGAAAGGTGGCGGCAGCTGATAACAGGCATGGCCTGGAAACGAAGCAGGAGAGATGCTTTTCTCTGTGGTTTTGCACATAACGAGGAGCAGTCAGAGACCAGCAAGGGCTGCATGAAAAACGTTTTCCTTTGTTCCTGCTTTTGT